AAGAGCAGATTCGCTTTTGAAGTCGATTTCTCTGTAGACAACAAATGCTCTTTTTTTAAAAATTGCAGATGTGTAGAATGCAATTCTCACAGTTATCTCCCTACCACGACATCTATATATATAAATTGCTCCCCCCCCACCCCTCCCATGCCAAACGAAAGAAGAAATAACCCCACAACATAAAAATGAGACCTTTTTTGCCCGTATCAAAATATGGAAAAAAAAACAAGAATAGGTTTTACCCTTTCTGGCAATAAAACAGGTGATAGTGGCATTGTCTTTGTACTGGTCGCCTTTTGGCGTTCTCTGGTCTGACACTGGTGAGACTAGGCCCTGTCTCTGGTGTCGGCCAATCAGTTCCAAAGACAATGCCATATATTATCAGAGCATGTTTGTTTACATGTTCACCACAAGTACGTGTGGTGAATGCGAACTTTGATTCCTTGAAAAACGTTTCTATTTGGTGTTTGCACATCTTAACACCTCCTATTTATTGCCAGAAAGGGTCAAATTTATTCTTATTTTTCATACTAACATCAGTTGGTCCTAAATGTAACACACGAACAATAATGTGTGCTTTTTTAATCTTAGTGTTTGAGGACAGGTGTAAAGAGATATGGATGGATTGCAGTGTTATTGTTGGTTGTAGGGGTGATGGTGAATATGGTGGTGGTGATGAAAATAATGGTGGCGTAGATGGAGTTGATGGTTGTGGTGGTGCTAAAGATTGCGCTGTTGATGGTGGTGGTATTTGTGGCGATGATGGTAATGATGCCGGCATAGATGGTACTACTAATGACAGTGGTGATGAAGTGGTTACAGTGGTGACGTTAATGGCATCAGAGCTCGTAGCGATGCTGGTATCGGTGGTGTGTAGTCAGCACTCACGATCGTGTTGATGATAAAACGTGTTGATGTTGTTGATAATATTGATGGTAATGGGCGTATTGAAGATAGTAGTGGTGGATATTATAATAGTGGTGAAATAGGTAATGACACTGATGGCGACAGTTGCACTGGTGATGATAAGGATGGTTACGGTAGTGGTTAAAATCCTGAATTAGACCAAGCTGGGGCCATAAACTCACGACACTTGAGTCAATCGTTTAACCATGTTGACCCAAACCTGGATTGGATCACAGGCTTACACCAGTATCGCGGCTTGTTTTTTTTGTTTTTACATGGGCCAACCTCATCGAATGAAGAATACATATTATGTTAGGCTGGGGCACCTTTCTTTTTTGCACCACCGTTCCATTTCAAAACTTTTCGGCGGTCCCTCGCGTCCGCTCGACCAAGCCAGACGGAGTGCAAAAAAAAAAAACTCGCGGAAGGTCAGGCCGAGGTGAGGAGCGCGTGATAGACTTTCAACGGACGTGGGGCGCCCTTTGCGCGGAACTCACCGACAAATGACGTCGCACGGAGTCCGACCCGTCGCGGTCCAGAGGCCCATTGGTGGCAACGGTGAACGTCAAAAGGGAGGAGGGGAGGGGGGGGGTGGGAGACATGAAATCAACAAAATCAGAGGCATAAAGGGCGCAGGACACAGCAAAGCCACGTTACCGGGGAGCGCGCAGCAGCAGCAGCAGCAGCAGGGAGCGTTACACAACGCCTCCCGTCCCCGTCTCGTCGTGACGACGACAGTGTAACTGACGAGGGTCCCTCCATCATCGAACCCCCTCCCCCATACACACGCTGCCCACTCTTCCCAAATGCAATTAAACCCAACGCCACTTCAGCTCTCTCACTACGCGATAAATAAAAGGAAAAACTACGTAACGCGAACAGGATGAACGTTTTTCGGTTGACGGCAAATAAGCACACATGCTCAAAAGTAAATAAAACCTCCAGAAAGCCATCATACTAACTAACTTTTTAAATGTTTGTACATTAGATGGGTAAATTGGGAAAACTTAATTGTGAGCATATTACGGGCTTGAATTAGTTTTACGATGTGGCTTTTGTGGAAGTGAGAGCATGTAAATTGCGATCACGTCTGGGAGCTATCAGGACACTTTGAACAACTGGCACGTGACTGATGCAGCAACCACTTTATTTTGTCATGCGGGTTATTTATTTACATTTATACTGCCATAACAGTCATCATATTACTAAGTCACTTATTGCGCTGAAACTTTCGTCATTATCGCCATCATCATCATCAGCAGCAGCAGCCATGATCTATCCACTGCTGGAAGCCGTCACCATTCCTCGTGGTCTCCAGATGCGACGATCCATGGGATCGCATTGCTCTGGATGTCCCCCTCGGGTGGGTCCCCTTCTTCGGCAACTCACTCTTCCCAGGTGTCTTCGTTTGGAAACCGTGACGATACATTTCTCTTATCGGCAGAAAGTGCGGTTCCAACAACCTTCGCCGGAGAGCACAAAAAAAATCCGGTGGAAAGTAGCAGAAACGTGACAATATTCCAATCCGCGTGATAATGGGGCCCTCAAGGCTTGACCTGCTATCATTTATCGACGCGCTATTGCTTTGCTGACAGAGCCAAAAACAAGTGCGGAATTTTAATTGCCGAAACCAGCACCGATCCACAGCGCGGTGAGACACGGTCGAGCGTGCCCCCCGTCGCCCATACCGGACAACTGTGAAGAACTCCATAGCTCATCCGATATCCTCCTCCAGTCCAAATAAATATTCTGATTCTGATTCTGATTCATTCGCTCGGTGCAAACAGGGCTGTGCGCCGAGTGATGGCGTAGCTCTCGACCCCGGCATTACCTGCGCCAGGCACAGCAGACTCGTTCCTATCCCCCCCGGTGTAACGGTACGATAATGACCTTTTCCATCCCTGTGACAACTGCTCCCTACTCCGTGTGGCTTTGATTATTTTATGCAGTTCCTCCAGCACCTGTCGGCAGGCTTCCTTCAAACTCTCAGCAGTGATAACGAAGCGGGCGTACGTGCACGCGCGCGCATGCACGCGCTGCCTTGATAGTTTTGGGTATGCCAATGCTGCTTTAACCTCTTCCAAGGAAGGGCGACTTCTATCTCTTCACTTCTTCAGCAAGCCGCTTGCTGAAGCTGCCACCCGAAGGCCGCGTTGCAGCCTGGAGGCCGGAAATCTCACCGCGATCCACCAATCCCCACCTCCCAAAGTGTTGGCTTGTGGGGGCCATGCGTACTAAATTAAATTAACCCTCGGGCGAGGAGGGGGGGGGGTAGGAGTGGTAATTTTTATTTATCTCCCCTGCACTGCTCTTAGGTTGCTCGTCCAATCGGGATCACACGGCGTTCCGAGCACTCTCTCGCTTCCACCGAGATTAATTTTAATAGCAGACTCGGCCAAGATTGTGAGGCGGTCCCGATCGCCGCCTGGACCCATTTACCCGCCGCCCGGACATTAATTTTTGGCAGAATAATTACCGAGTATTGATCGCCCTCAGTATCCACCCTCCGCCCCTCGCTAAGGCCGCGTTTGATTCATCGTCGCCGCACACAGCGTTCGTCGTTCCCGTCCGTGAGTCCTGGCCGCTGTGCCGCCGCGGTGAGCACCGGCGCTCCTTGATGGCATCGAAAACGGTGGCGAGATGTTGACTGCCTCGCCTGGTGTGTCGGAGATTGTGGGGTTGATCCCGACCCTGACGCCTGCTGTATATTTGGAGTTTGCTCTCTCGCCCCCCGTGGTCGCGTGGATTTTTCTCCGGGTCCTCCGGTTTTTCCCTCCACGTTTCAAAACGTGGCGTTTCGAGTATTTGGCTGCTATAAATTTGCCACGTGATGATAAGCAACTACGTTGGGCTATCATTTGTGATAGCCAAGTCGGTTCTGACAAATATATATAGCTGTGTGGGCCTTACCTGGTAAAATAAATAGAGTGTAATAGTTTAGTTTTGAGAAGCTGTCATTGCCAATGAGCTGCAAAACAGCCTGGCACGAGTGCAAAGGAGTGGTGTGGCCAACGGACGTGCGCCTGATTTTTCAGAATGAAATGCGATGGGAACGAAATATAGCATCTAAAATAAAGGGTAAAGTTGCAGCCATGCAATTGCACTCTCACGCCAGGTTCACAGCAACAGGGAGCTCTTGCGAGCCATTCTAGAGAGCAATCAAATACATTTCATTTACATTCGGATATATATATATATTTTTTACGCAAGTAATTTACATGTAAAAAAGTCATCAACGGATACTTGTGGAGTAACACTAATTTGATTAAAGATTTGAAACGAAGCAGCAGGGGATTACCCAATATTTTCCGTTTGGTTATCTGATTATTACAATGCGTCGTGATGAGAGATGGATCGTGGCATCGCATGACCGAGAGAAACGGCGTCCATATGTGGGAAGTCTTCATCCAGCAGCGGATCGATCATGGCTCATGATGATGACGACGACGATGATCTGACTACAGTAACGCATAACTCCCCAACAATGACAGCACTACCGCAAAAGAACAAACAAACCTTAAGTTCAGTGAAACACGTGTACGCACAATGCGGCGATTGAAAAAAATAAAAACATTATAAAGGTGACCAGATGGCTCAGAAAGCTCAAGGTGGCAATTCCAGAGCCACCGCACCGGCAGCGGCTGAGATACTTCATCAAGCCCTGGAGCTGGGTGCCCTCTATTTCAGGGGGCTCATAATTGCCATGTTGTAGTCATTGTTCCAGCACAGCTGAAAACATGGGTTGAAGGCCTGGGGGAGGATGTCTCTCCCAAAGGTGGGCGGGGTGGGCGGGGTGGGTGGGTGGGTAGGGGGGGGGGCGTTCATATTGGTAGTGTCAGAGCCACAGAAACAGCACAGACAAGGTCATGCATTCGAACCCTGAGGCTGACCATCTCTCTATCAGAGAGTTCATAATGGCTATGTTGGAGCCAATGAGACGGCAAGCCCTGAGCTCCTGAGTTCAGTCTCCCGGGGCAAGTGTCTCTTTCGCTCATTCTGCCTCTCTCTCTCTCTCTCAGGGGGTCCATGACGGCCATGGCAGAGCCACTGACCCAGCACCGGTGACATCCCCGGGTTAAGGCCCAGACTCCCACCTTATCATTGTCCATGTCCTTGACGTCCTTCATGTTGATCGCGTTCTTCATGCCCTTCTCCTTCTTGTTCTTCTTCTTCTTTTTGCAGCAGCATTTCTTGCAGATGCAGAAGCAGCAGCACAGGATGAGGAGGCCAGCGACCACGGCGATGGCGACCAGGGCCCACGGCGGCACTGAGGGTCGAGGGAGAGAGAGAGAGCGAGAGAGAGAGAGAGAGCGAGAGAGAGCGAGAGAGAGAGAGAGAGACACAAACAGGAGGGGTGGGGTGGCGGCAGGATGAGAGAGGTCAGAGATAGGATTTTAAAGTCAAGGTCAAAGAGTCATTGAGGACGACGCTATCGATGCGACTCTGAGACGTGTTCTCGCGCTGCGCTGCGTGGCGTAGTTAGGCGTCGTGTGCCAAGAGTGGTGGGGAGCTTCCTTAGGGGAAGTGAGTGGCACGCGTGCAACGACCCGAGGGCACGTGTCCTCAACCGTTGGGTTGAACCCGCCTTCTCAATAAAACTCTCGAGTCTATTTTTAGTCACGGAAGTTAATTTGTTGAGGGCAAACAATGTCGCGTTACAAACCGATGCGGCGAATTCGCGCAAACGTCTCGCATGAACAGCATCCGGCTGTGCAAGGTGAGAAAAAAAACCCCCAGACACAATCAAAGCGTGCACTTCACATAATCTCATTTCATCTGGGCCTTGATGAACAAGGCATGATCTCTTAAATATCCCTAGGTGTGACTTTAAAGCAGCTCGCCAGCGAAATCCATTCCTCGAACATAATGATGCATTGTGCGTCCACACCTCAGTGGCCACACAATCCCACCACGCTCCGACTCCACGTCAAAGTGTCATCCCCTTCAAACAATCATTGCGGATATTTTACGTATTCTTTCGCAGCCCTGCGCCTGAACCGTTTGGTGGAAATTCCATATTTCTATGACAAGGGCCCAGTCACTACAAAGCTACAACCACTTCTTTGGAAGTCATGTTCATTTTATTCACCACAAAGGAATCACGTGCTTTGTTGACTCCCGACTGGGAATTGGAACTTGTGACCATCTGATTTTGAGTCAAGCACTCTGCCCACAGTGCCTTCCGCCATAATTACATTTCTGTAACGAGAGATCGCATGAATAAATCATGAGCCGTGAGCTGGAATTGAACTTAGGTCACCAGGTTCATATTGCAGTGCGCTAACCACTATGCCACCACTCCTTCCCACCCACCCACACACTCCCTCCATAAATAATAGTAATAAATGTTATTGCGACCGTTCAGTCCACCCACTCCACCACATTGGGATGTAATCTGCCATGAATAAAAAAAAATACAATTTCTGTTATGACAATTCTCGTAGAGAGATCGAACACTTAGCATTTCCCCCCCAAATCACTGGAGCCTGGAAAAGGCGTTTGGTGAGTGAGACCGATTGCTCGTCGACAGCGCACACAACGGGGCCCGGTACTTCTCGGAAAAATCTAATCAGTGCAGGTGTCTGGACTGGAGTAACTTTAATAATTAAACATTAAATAAAGCCACTCGCAGAAGCACTACTGTGTTGCCATGGCAATAGGGACGAACACTTATGTGGCTGCAGGCCGGGCTTCACAAGTCTGGTGTGAGACGTGAAGGGGGAATGCGCCGGCACCGCTGATATCCCGAGTTCAAACTCCAGTCAACCACTCCTGATTAAAAACAAAAAAAAATCGAGTGTCGTTCATTCATAGTGAAGCCAACGATTTCCTGCTCACACGAAGCATTGGAGCGGTTGCTCGCGTCCTGTTTTAAAGGTCTGCGCCAGTGGCGGAGATTCCGCATGTCTGCGGCAGGGAACGGAGTCTGTCCGTCCATAGCGCAACCCCAGAGGGAGGACGGGGTGATTCAAACCCCCCCCCCCCTAGCCAGGATTCGAATTCGGATCCTCTCCCAATGCGAGCCGCACGCTCCACTGTGTGTTTTTTTTATTTATAAAACAGTGAACCACGGCTGCTTCGTTGCTCTTGGAAGACCAGACATATAAACAGTGCTCCATGCCACCTATTTGGGTTATATATCCAGCATTTCAACCGTGCCGATGGCCTCGGATCGCGAGACAGGGGAAATCCATGCCCCTCCACCTGTATCTCATAAGCCAGCTAAGCGCCATAGGTCACCCAGCAAGATGAAGTCGTCGTGCAACTACTTTAAGAGCCGTGTAGCCACATTCCACTCAATGCTAGATGACGATGTACCATTTGGCTTTGTAGATATTTCTTGATTCATCTGAGTAAAATGTAAATGCAGTGGTCAGAATGATAACAAGCTAAGCGACACCACCACATTTTTTTGCGTGGTCAACGTTGAATGGGCTGAGACTGTGAACTCTCTACACTCGGGAACCGAATTCAATGGCAAGTGGCTGGAACCCGGATTCAAACCCAGGTTTGCAGAGTTCTGTTGGCTGAATCATTTTTAACAAGGCCATGAGACTTGGGTAGCACAACTCTATTCACCCTTAAACAGCCAAATCACCGTTACGACACAGCCTAGTAAAAAAAAGTGAAATGTGAAAAAAATAATGACCCAGTTTTTAACAAAAAGGTAAAAAAGATGCACGGAAACTTCGCGCAAAGTATAACATTGTCCATCTCATTTATTCAGCCAAGAGACTTTCGAAGCGCTCTCTTTGATTCCTTTATATATATTTTTTACATTATTATTTCAGAGCAGCGAAATTTCCCCGCTTTGAGGGGCTAACAAAGAAGGCGTCGTGGGGGAGGCCGCCCGTCCATCCGTCCTCCAACGGTGCTCGCGAGGAAAGCGACGGGCAACGTTGCGCCCGTTCCCTCCCGTCCGCTGTGGCCCCATCGCACGCCTCTCTCTCTCTCGATCTCTCTCTATCTCTCTCGCGCGCGCGCGTGAGTCTCAATCGAAGCGTCGTTTCTCCAACGTGATGAAAATGCCGAGCGGAGCGCGGATGGGTAAAATCAGGATAGATGGTCGGCGCAGATTGTGGCGGGGGGGGGGGGGGGTTAAGACTGCGAGTGTCACAGAGTGTGTGGCAGGAGAGAGGTTTTGTTTAGAGAGAACCGTTGGCGTAGTGGGTTATGGAGTGGCCTCCGCGTGTGGCTGATAGTTGAGTTGAGTTCTCTGTGCGCGTGTTGGGACACGTTCTCGCTGCTGCCTGCGTTCTTTGCGAACGTGTCCCTCGATATGTAAGGCGCGTGCGAGTGTTAGATTGCGATGTGCTCGTGCGTGATTTCGCGCGCGCGCGTGCGTGCGTTTGCTCGTGCGCGTGAGCGCGTGCGTGTTTGTGTAGGAATGGTGTGATGGGGAGCGATGGCGAAGCGGTAAGCGCGCTCCGCTATGATTCGGCCGACCTGAGTTTGATTCCTGGCCACAGCTGAAAGCAGCAAAATGAGTGATATCTGAACGGGCCCTGAGTTTCCATTCAGTTAACTCCGCTTCAAATAAATACCAAGTATAGTGCGAAGCATACGGACTGGGGAGACAAAGGCGGCTGAGTGATGCTGGCCACACGACCGACACATGTGCCGTACTAGTCCTCAATAGGTGCTCGCAAACAGCGCCTGTAGATTATTGAGGTGATTATTTGGTGTTTGTCGTGTTGAAATTGTTCGAATACTGTAATGCAATCTCAGCACTCCGGCTTGAATTCCTGGCCATAATGCACAACAGTGTCTAGGTCCTCCCCGATGTCATGAATGTACATTGCAGTGTCTAAACAGCGTCAATGAGGACACCAAGGTGGCCACGTGTGTGTGGTGTTGGTCCCAGCACCCGCGCTGCCCTTTAAGAGTTGCTCACTTAACAACATGCGCCCATATACAGTCCAGAAGCCTGAACCGGAGGATCTATAGATTGGCTGTGTTTAGAGAGGAGGAGAGTGATGATAGGACAGGGTGCCACCGAGACAAGAGAGAGTAACGGTTGAGATGCTGGTGAAGTGTCAGGGGCTGTTTTCTGCCCGTTAGTGTAATTGCTTTTTTTGGCCTATTGCACGGACGCTCACGAGTCTCTCCCAGCTTCACTCTGCCGCACAGGGAAAATTGGACAAAGCGTCCCCCAGGTGCAAGGTAGGCGCGTTGTGTGAAGGGCGGGGCAGGCGGGCGGGGTGTTGGAAAGTAACTAGTAACAAGTAGCGCATCTGAAGTCAAGACGAATGTCCACTCACTCAATCTGGCATTGGGGAAGCATTCATCTCCGGTGGTGGAATGCATCACAATCACTCAAGAGTGCCAAGCTCTCGCCATTGGACGGAATCACCACGTGTCGACTTCCCACATGTTTCACTTGACCCTGCAACGATGATGGGCAGGTTTGATCCCCTACGACGAGGATATGAACTGTCGACCATCGCCCATACTTCGCCACGTTACTCATTGTGGGTTGGTTAAGGTTCGGTTCAGATATCACTCCGTCACTGATGTTCGCTATGAACATGAATCAAAATGATAGCTAATATAAATATTACATTAACATTTGAAGGAATAATGGTAAGCTAGCTGGGTGGTGATGAGTCGGCGCACCTGACTCACAGTCATAAGGTAAATGAAATATATAAGTGCCAGTATAGAAATAGTGGCCCCTGCCATATAGCAATGTGCAATTTCCACTCATAACTCAAGGATGCAGATGGACATGATCACTTCAACACGCCCATTTTGGGACAACATGTGCTCAATAATGGCACAGTGGTTCACATAATATATCCAGAACCCGGCCTCCCGCTGAGTTTGATTCTCAGCCGTGGCGAACGTCAGTGGCGAGTGAAATCTCGAACCCTTCACCAACCTGCACTGACCCGAGCGGTCAACCAACCGTCATTGTGAAGGCCTTCATTTAGTAACAGTGGACAAAGGGCTGTATGTTTAATGTTGTTGTTGTTGTTATTTTGACAGCACTTAACAGATGCTCGGCACAGATTGGAGAAAACAGACAGAGCGACTACTGTGTAATCCTTTCCCACGCTCCCCATCTCCACGGTGCAAAACAGAAGCAAAAAATCGACGCGTTCGTAACTGCCTCGCCGTTATTGACCTCGAGATTCAAAAAAGAAAGCCGTTCAACTACTGGCGGCGATTCGTACGGTTTATTTCGCAATACAAACAGTGCTTCCCTTCGGTGTGCGTTTTAATAGCAGGTCTTTACTTCCTATATTTCCTTCCGTGATTTCTCAC